GAAGCCTGCTTCTCCCTCTCCCACTCCCCCTGCTTGTGTTCTTGCTCTTGCTGTCTCTCTCTCTGTCAAATAAATCTGTCTTAAAAAAAAAATAGTTTTGACACATCAGAACTTCACTATATTCTAACACAAAGTAATTGACAGCCTAATAAACTTATAAACGGAAAAACAAAGTGGGGCTCATGTTTGGATCCATTTCTGAAATGCACTTGAAGTGCAGTCTTTTGGAAATTACAGAGGATGAATAAGAATCCGGATGGTTATATGAGTAAAGACTTGTGTACCGGGACACCTGGGTGGCTCAGTCGTTAAGCATCTGCCTTTGGCTCAGGTCATGATCCCAGGGTCCTGGGATTGAGCCCCGCATCGGGCTTCCTGCTCCGCGGGAAGTCGGCCTCTCCCTCTCCCCCTGCTTGTGTTCTGTCTCTCGCTGTGTCTCTCTCTGTCAAATAAATAAATCTTAAAAAAAAAAAAAAAAAGACTTGTGTGCCCTTCTGGAGGAACCGCCCCTATGCACCTGTCTGCAGCCTGCAAATCCCATTTGCATCACTAGCAGTTTCTTGGAGGCTTTGGCGCTATCATGAAATAGTTCTGGAATGTTCGCTTATGTAGTGGATCTTTACCACAGGTCTGAATCTCTTGCGGTGCTTTGAGGGGCAGGCCGGTGGCGGCTGCTGAGCAGTATTTCTGTAGATACATTTCTGCAACATTATAGCCAAATGTTACTGAGCTTCTTATTCTGCACAATCTGGTGCCAGCTTCTGAAACCCTGCTTCTTGATTACAGGCTTACTGTTTGTGCTGGAGTGCTTGATCCCAGGCAAGGGGTTCAGGGTTTCCCACAGATCCACAGAGAGCATCTGTTTCAGTTGAGTGGTATTTGTGCTTTTTCATTATTTCAATGCCTCTTTCGCTGTTAACCTTCTAAGGTTTTATTAGTGTTTATGAAAAGGAATCCGTATGCTGTGGAAAGTTTTTCTAAGACACACAGACTGTAAATCACGGGTTCTAGAAGTGTTAGGTTCTTTCCAAGAAGAAGTTGTTTCAATCATAACAGCCAATGAAAATTCCCCTCAGTGCTCACGGTGCTGTTCATTCTGTGAGGGCGTGGAATGGTGCCCCCTACGCTGGAGCTGGGTCTGCGTCCTAATTCCCGGAACCTGTGAATGTGACCCACTGTGGAAAAAAGGGTCTTTGCCGATATAACTAAATTAGATCGTCTTGGAATATCCAAGTTGGACCTAAATACAGTGACAAGTGTCCTTTTAAGAGACAGAAGAGGAGAGACGCAGACAGAGAAGCCTCACGAAGGAGGCAGAGACAGGAAGACGTGGCCACAAGCCCAGGACACCCGGACCCCCAGGAGTTGGAAGGAGCAGGAAGGACCCCCCCTGGAGCCTCCAGAGGGAGCGCGGCCCTGGGACACCTGGGTCTTAGACTCTGGCTTCCCAGCTGTGACAGGGTAGATTTTTGTTGCCTTTGGCTGTCCCGTTCATGGTGTTCCGGCAGAGGCAGGAATCTGACATAACAAGAAAACACCAACATCATCATCACAGGGTGACTCCAGAAAGTGTGCGTTGTAAGTGTCTGCGGCTCTGTTCCCGGTCAGTATGCCCAGGTTCGGGGAGGGTCCCTAATGACGAGCCACACTCATGCCTGTGCATTCTAGGTTGTTTTTCTAGGGAAAAAAATGCGGCACTTCTGCACAGAGATCAGTTTTTTTTTTCCACGTGTAAGTCTGAGTTGTTAAATACAGAAGGCTAGAATACATAATTCAGCATTTTAACTTTCATGTTTATAGAAGCAGAATAGAAGCCATGAATAAATACATTCTCAAAAAAAGGTTGTCTTAAATAAAATAACAGTTCATTTCCTCTTCTCCCTCTCCATCCCAGAGTGGGTGGTGCATTTGCTTTATTTGGTGATAAAAAGTGGGATCACTGTGCCTCAGAGAGTCACCCGTGTGGAGTGACTATGGACAGCCGATGAGGGGGTTCCCGCCAGGCCTGGTTTTTGGGATGGCTTGGCTACATCAGGTGTGCCAGGGTGCGCGGCCTTCCCTCTCTCCGGTCCTGCCGTGGGGGTGCTGGAGCCCCTGCCCCGGGGACCGCAGCCTGAGCTGCATCCGGCAGTCCCCGGCTTGAGGCCCTCCCTTAGGAAGGGTGGCTCCCTGCTGGCTGCCTGTACACCCCAGAAACTCTCCTGCAGCTCTCTTCCCCAGCCTGGGGGCCAGGCTTGCAGAGTGCATATGGCAACAGTGGGGAACGCCATCCGCCACACCCAGCATGGCTTCGGGGGTCCTCCCTGCACCTCGGCCGAGGGCCAGCAGATGGGACAGCTGCGCGGGGGACAGCGTGGCCTGAGCCCCTTCTCAGAGTGTGTGTTCAGGAGGTGATCGGAGGCGTGCGGGCCCTTAGGTAGGGACCTCATCAACTCATTGTTCATGGGGGCCAGGCCACGGGCTTGGACCTTTAACGGTAGGGTCTCCACTTGGTCAGTCAGGCCCCTCAAACGCGTGCAGGCTATGCTGAAGTGGTGGCGTGGACAGGCGGCCACCATGTGTTAGTGGAACGTGTCCTAGGTAATTGTACATAATTCCATTCTGTAATTTAAAACAGGTTTGTGTGTAGAAAAGAGACTCCAAGGACAGATGTCAAGCTGTTAACTGAGGTGATCTTTGTGGGTGGCATGCGGGGGGTTTTCCCCGGCTCCTCCTGCTGTCACGTGCCTTCTGTGTTGTCTGCAGTCTTCTGGTTTTCCCGTCTTCCCCACAGCTGCGCCTTCCCTCCCGCCCCTAGCTCCTGCCGCGCACACGCACACGCACACGCACACGTGTGCACGCGTGCCCTCAAGCAAGCAAACACGTGAAAAGCTTCTAATTGTAAGCAAATGTTTTGCTTCTTTGGACAGGACTGAGATTTCTGAGAGAGGCATGGTGGGGACAGGGCGTCCCTTTTACACGCGTGGAAACCATGAGGCCAGCGGATGGCCCAGCTCCAGGCAGGGGCGTCGGTTGTGAGCTGTGATAAAGTCCACACAGCCTAGTGCTGGGGCTGTGCTGGCATGAGGTGCATAGAGGTCGTTCTGCGAGCGTGCCCCCGTGTGGACCGACTCTCACCCCAGGACCCAGAGCTCTCGGGCACATGGTGGGAGGACGGGCTCGCAGCACAGCATGTGGATGGTCTCGCTGGAAAATAAAGAAATCCGGGTTGCTTGAATATTGAGATGCCCTTTAAGGATTCTTGGGAGAAATACTAAAAAAAAAAAAAAAAAAGGAGCAGAGACTGCTTAGGGGCGCCTGGCTGGCTCAGTCAGTGGAGCATGCGACTCTTGATCTCGGGGTTGTGAGTTTGAGCCCCATGCTGGGTGTAGAGCAGACAGAGCAACACTTAGTGTTTCCCCACATTTAAGCAGCCATGTGTTAGGAGCAGAGCTGCAGGGGTGAGGACCAGTGTGTTAGGAGCAGAGCTGCAGGGGTGAGGACCAGTGTCTTAGGAGCAGAGGTCCAGGGGTGAGGACCAGCTCGGCTGCTCTGCAGCCCCCGTTGGTGCCATTCCCATGGTGACATGCCCGTGGCTGGGGTGTGACCAGCAGAATGGAGTAGGGGGCCATGGGCCCGGCCCACGGAGCTGGCAGTGAGGGTCCCTGCTTCTGGGTGGCATGGTGGGCGGCCCAGGCTGTGGGGACAGAGGCAGTCATCCTTCCAGCAGACTGGCTGCTTCCCTCTAGCAAGAGTTGCCTCAGCTTTCCCGGGTCCCGCTGTCTTGGCCTGTGTCACTCTGGGGCATTTGTTTTCTTATCTGCCTCCTTCTGGGCACCTCCAGGGGCAGCGGTGACTGTGGCCAGGGCCCGCCACACTTGAACATTTGGTAGGCGTCTGAGGACCCAGCGGAAGACCGCCTGGCTGATGGTGTCCACACCCCTCCTGGGGTTCATTCCAGCATCCTGCCTTTGGCCTTGGCCAGTGTTCTTGACTGTGGGGACCCTTGGTCTGTCTTCGGGGTGCTGGTGCCATGTGCAGCCGTCCAGGTGCCGTCCAGGTTGTAGGGTGGTGTGAGGGCCCTGGAAAGCTGCATTCAGACAGGTGTCCACCACCAAGCTCCTTACCCAGCGGGAAGTGAGATCCCAGGATCTGGATGCTCCCAGCAGTCCCGGTGAAGTCTGGGATGACTGCTTTCAGGCCTTTAGGTTAATGGGGTTACTGGGTGGATGCTCTGCATGTTTCAGAGGGGACGACTGTGGTGTCTGTGGGTGCCCATCGCCAAGGGCACCACTCGGGATAAGCTGCCCAGTGCCCAGTGGAGCCCTGCACCGTGGGGCTGACGCATGGGATCCCAACCCCCTTGACTACCACCAGGAGAGCATCCCGCATGTGGAACGAGATGCCTCTGAGGGCGTGGCCGGATTCGGGTGTGGAACGCAGCCCCCCCGCCGTGAGCTCGAGCTGGCCACACGGATGACCCCCTCAGGGGCCCGTAGCGTCACTCTCTGAAATGTGGGCAGAAGAACGGGCCGGATGAGCCACACCCTGAGGCAGAGGCCACTCAGCGATCCTGTTGCATGTTTGGGGCTGACCCAAGCCTCTCACTCAGCTGTGTCCACTAGCTGCTTAGGCAGCACCTTTCCTCTGGGCATTAAAACTGCAAAACCACTGGCCTGCAGGTGTTCGGAGGGGGCGGCTCTGCCCTGTGGCTCCCGGGCACCGATGGCCTGTGGCTGTGAGCAGAGCTGTGGGCTGGGAACCGAGCTCCGGCTTCACTTGTCTTTACATCTTTGTTCTCTGTTATGATTGTGTATGAGGACCTCACTGTGTCTTGGAGGCTGATGTGTAAGATAGTGGCTGTGTCCGGGACGTGCTGGAAGGGGTGACCTCTGACCTTTGGCAGAGCGTGGGCTCCCCTGCCTGGGTGTGCGGGCTCTCCGCGGGGGCCGTCTACACAGGAGCAGGGCTTGTTGGGGTGGGCGGGCTGCACGCTGACTTGCGGGCCTGCTGTCTTTCAGTCAACGAGTTCACGGTGATCAGGAAGAAGTTCAAGTGCCCCTACTGCAGCTTCTCGGCCATGCACCAGTGCATCCTCAAGCGGCATATGCGCTCCCACACGGGGGAGCGGCCCTACCCCTGCGAGATCTGCGGCAAGAAGTTCACGCGGCGGGAGCACATGAAGCGGCACACGCTGGTGAGTGGGGGCGGGGTTGTGAGTGGGGACGTGGCTCAGCATGGGGTCAGCGTGGGCCGTCACAGGTCAACGTGGGGTCAGCGTGGGGTCAGCGTGGGCCGTCACAGGGTCAGCGTGGGGTCAGCATGGGGTCGGCGTGGGGTCAGCATGGGGTCGGCATGGGGTGGGCATGGGGTCAACGTGGGCCGTCACAGGGTCATCATGGGGTCGGCGTGGGGTCAGCGTGGGCCAACACAGGGTCAGCGTGGGGTCAGCATGGGTCATCACAGGGATCGGCATGGGGTCAGCATGGGGTCAGCATGGGGTCAGTGTGGGTCATCACAGGGTCAGCATGGGGATAGCATGGGGGGTCAGTGGAGGGTAGTCAGCATGGGGTCATCATGGGTTCGGCTGGGCCCATTCTGTGCTGGGCTGAGGGGTCCAGGAAGGTGGGATGATGATGTGGGGCCTCGGCCTGGCCTTGGCAAGCGCTTCCTCCCCTGCCAGGACCCCTGCTCTCAGCCCCTGGTGTCCCACCATGAGGTCACTTCCTTGGTGCCCCGGCTCCAAGGCATGGTGGGACCCCCTCCACCACCCGCTCCCCCATGGCCTTGTAAGGCATTGGATTACCTGTCTGGGGTGGGCACCCAGCTGGAGTTGCCAGGTGGCAGGTGCTGAATGGATAGATTTGCTTGGCCAGGAAGTGATAGGAAAAGGTCATCCTTGAAATAGGCAGATTTGCCAAAAAAACACAGGGCAAGGGACCCCTGGGCAGGTGAGATAAACCATGGGGGTCAGGGCCGGACCACAAGGCTATACGTGGTTTCGTCTTCTTGAGACACACATTCAGGGTGGGGTTCAGGACTGAGGGTGGGGCCAGCTGGAGCTTACAGGGCTGAGGCGGTGGAGGCAGCCCTGGGCTGGCAGATGCCCAGAGCCCTCAGCCTGTGCCGTGGGGGCCGGGAGAGGGCATTGGGGTCATGTCATGAGTTTGGGAATCTCAGAGGTGTCAGGAGTCGCCCACGGGGTGCACAGACTTGGCTGACCCCTGCAGCATGCTGACCTGCTGTCAGGAGCAGAACCCCCAGGAGGTGTGAGGGGACTGTGTTGGCAGTGGTGAGGGTGGCCCAGGGGTGCCCTCGCACAAGTGTGGCAGGCGGCTGGGGGAGGGCAGGGTGATACCCTCAGGCCTGGCTGCTGGCAAGGTGAGCCGTGTGGACGAGCAGGGTCTTTGCCTGTGTGTGTGTCCATCTGGTGTGAGTGGGGGGCTCTGGCTCACTTTGGGGTCGCATCCGGATTTACTCTGCTTGGATCCAACAGTTGGCTCTCTGGACAGGGCAACCTTACTAGCCTGTTGTTTTATCTTTCCAGCCCAGTGGAGGGCACTTATTTTGGGGTGAGGACATCTGGGAAGGCTCCTGAGAGGTCAGGCAGCAAAGCTGGAAGGGGGACAGCCCCAAGAGTGGGGGGGAGCCCAGCCCAGCTGACTGAGGGACGTCCCATGGCCCCAGCCTGCAGTGTCCACCACCCCGTCGTGGGGTCCAGCAGCTCGGGAAAGTGGCAGCCCCAGCCTGGACGGCAGGTCTGTGGGGCAACCGCTAGGGCTGACTTGATGCCACTGACTGCAGAGCTGCCCCTTTGTCCAGTGTTTCCCTTCGGCAGAGCCCACCCCAAGAGCCGTAGAGGCTCAGGTTACCACAGAAACTTGGAGGGATCCGTACGCCGATGCCCACGTTGTTCCTACTCAGAGATGAATGGTGGCTTGTTTGTTACACTCTAGTGCTGGAAAGTTGTCAGTACGTGGGTTATGACAGCTTTTCTTTAGCAAAACCACATTATGGCTTCAGGAAGCATTGGTCCCATTTGAGGATTGGTGTGGTCGTTGCCCGTTTACCTTGGATGGGGCCAGATTTCCATCCTGGGGTCCTGGTTAGGTTTCAGGGAGGATCACAAATCCCTGAAAATGTACTTAAAATGTGTGCAGGTTTGCCTTTTTCTGAGAAGAGGCTCTGTATCTTCCCCTTTAATTTGTTGAGGGCCCCTGGCCCCCAGGAAGCAGCTGAGCGGCTGCTGACAGCAGGTGGCAGTAGGGGCGCTCAGTGTCCCTTCTTTGTGGAGGCTGGTGCCTGTGCTGTGCCCCCTCGGGAGACAGAGGGGCTGGGGCAGTGTTGCCAGGAGTCCTCTGGACGGTGGGGTCTCTGGAGGAGGAGCCAAGGTTGCCATGGCGCCCACATCCTCCCTCTCTCTTCCCTCCCTCCATGTGTTAGTTAGGACAGGTGCCCAGCCATCTGGTGCCGGCTGAGTGGCTCCCTGAGACACCTCGGTCGCTCCCAGGTGTCCTGGCACAGCCCCCAGCTCCCTGCGTGGGAGCCCCAGGTCTTGAGGGGCCTCCGTGGACACTGCCTCCCACGGCCCCACCAGGCCTGCTCTCAGAACAGTTTCTGTTGGGGGAGGCTCGAGGAAGCCCTGGGTTTAAAATACAACAAACAGAAGAGACGCAGGAGGGTCCTGGGGACCGCATCTTTTTTTTTCTTTTTTTAAAGATTTTATTTATTTATTTGAGAGAGAGAGAATGAGAGATAGAGAGCACGAGAGGGAAGAGGGTCAGAGGGAGAAGCAG